CCTAAATAAAATGTTGAAGGGGAATACACCATAATTGAAGGAGTTTGGGGGGACAGACTGTCACGATGTCACGCAGAAGGCCGAAGCGTGACATGTCGCGGTTTAAATGTTCTCTCCTTATTCGCGCCTCAGACTTCTCGGTTCAAGGCTATCTGAGAGTCTATAACGGATCCTATATTTGCTCTAATACGCAGGTCTACAGTTGGAATAGAAAATATGCATGAAAATTTCAAGCAGTAGGATGGATTCAATATACCCTTAAAGCCAATGGGGCGGAAACCGCTCAAATGTGGCTCACCTCCTAACCAATTCGACCCGGCTTCTAAAAACCGGCTTCAGTTGGCTAGAAGTGGCCGCGGCTGTCGGCTTAGCCGCAGTCGAGCCAAGCCGTGGGCAACACTATTGGAAACTCTGGCCAGGTGCGGCATTGTGCGGTTACACCACTCTTCAAACTTCGTCGGAACAATTCGACACGCATATTAGGCCTTTACTGTTTATTACCCAGCGGAGAGTCTATTGTCAAGATTGGGATGGTTCCTCTGGCAGTGCACTTCCTATAGGAAGAGTCACAGGCATTGGTTGAATTCCTTTGTGTATTCTTCAGCTCAGGCTGTCAATGATAATAGAAGTTGAATACAGGAACCGAAGACTTCTGCTTGGCTCGTAGGCAACTTATGCCAATGCCTATGGGAGCAACTTGGTACTCTCACAATTATTATGGGAGCGCCTCTAGTAGGCATCTTCTCGAATCTCGCCTATCTTCAGAAACTCAGAATCTACGGGTGCGCCCTTCTTTATCCCTAATATGTATGCTCTGCCGACAGTCTTCGACCACAAGCAAGGGGGGTTTGCCGATATTATTTCAGGGCTCTCGGTCTCACAGGGTTGGTGTATACTTAACTGTCTCCGCTAATTGCCGTGATGAACTGTTCGAGGCCGATGTCATTGGGCTGCCAACTTTACGACCCCTTCCCAACGTATACCCATGGGACTATTCGACTCTTTTGGGGATGATCTATTTCCCAGCTACCCACTTCGACACAGTAATGGGATTCCAGAGTAGGAGCTCTGACGCCGCTTGAGACGAAGCACGACAGATCCAGGTTCAGACACTTCTCTTTTGAGGTCATTCTAGATGTTGTGATTCCTATCCCAGGCTCCAATTCATGGTTCACAACGAGTCCCACAGTGCATGTTAGCCGTGCGTGTGAAATGCCTGGGACAGAGGAGTAGATATACTCGCATTCGACCAAAGGGACCGCTTTGGATGATCATAGTACCTCGTTCCCTTCAGTCATGAGCGACCTTGGATTGACTATGGGGGTTGCCCTCGTGGGCACCTTGATATCTGCTGTCTTGTATGGCATCACTGTCACTCAGACGTACCTTTATTTCCAGAGGTTTCCTCAAGACAATATTCTCATAAAATTGATGGTAAGTCTACACATTAGTATGCAGTATAAAATATGGCCCGTGTTCAACGTCTTTTATTAGGTGGCCGTTTTGTGGTAAGGCGAAACAACGTCTAAGTCCTTGCAGTCATCGAGAATGTCTCAAATCTAGGACATTGGATACGCTCCACCTCGCGCTCATTTCGCATTCCATGTATTTTTACCTCGTAAGCTCTTATATATCTACATTTCAACCCCTTTCCCAAAGCTCTTTTAGATTCAGAACTTCAACCATCCTGACGCCTTGGCTTCTGCTGTATGGTATGTATATTATTCTATGAAAAGGCATGAACGTTGACAATAAAGAATCCTCGTTAGGAGCTTTAACGTGAGTAATTCGCAATATTGTTATTATAAATTGAAAGTGAACCATTTTCAGTCCGAAGTGTCCGTAAACGTAAGAATGTCCCTTATACAGCTTCATATTAAGATGACTAAATTTCAGTCAAGGGCCTCATCGGATTAATAGTTGAATGGTAATTGTGAATTTCTATGACTATATTCATTTAAAATTGATCCATATGAAGCTTTTTTGCACGCCGGATGCTAAGACGTATGTATTGAATCCTAGGACTTTCCTCCTTGTCTGTTTTCCTAATGCCTGTATGTACAGTAAGTGGGGGAAGCCGTATAGGCTGGTTCTTGGCAGTAATTGTCGTACGTCGTATGATTATCTATTGACTTAGTCTCTTTTTAATGGTTTACTAAATAGTGCATCCTCTCCTTAATTCATTTCGGTGAGCAGTGGAGTCCTGTATTTCGAACAGCCGTTGCATTTACACGTATCCCGATTAGGCCTCGGAATATGTTGGTATTTAAAAATTACTTCGTGAACTTACTTGCTGACCTCTCTGCCAATGGAAAGTTTTCACCGATCGGTTGTAAGTTGCGCTGTTTCCTATGAACACAAATAATTAATCAAGTGCCATTATAGATTCCAATTACGTTTCTTTGCCAAATTCCCTGAACTCACAGTATGTAATTTTGTATTGTATTTAGTTGACATTGCTGATCTAGCTGCCAGTGGATCACGAAAATCGGCCTTGGAAGTGCTGCAGCCTGCGATTTGATTGTGGCCCTGGGACTGTGAGTAGCATTATTTGCTTTGAGATATCTAACTTCATTAAAAATCGTTCCACAGTTGTTGGTACCTGTATACCTCCCGAACAGGGTATCGCAAGTGCGTTTGTACTATTGAAAGGCGAAGTTTTGATACTCATTACTCAACTCACTGACAGGACGGACTCGCTCATCGTAACGCTGATGGTATACACTCTCAATTGTGGCTTGCTGACAGGGTTCGCTATTATGTCTTCAAAAAGTGAAGAGTGGAATTGACATTTCCTCTTTAGTGTTTGTGCCTCTATGGTCATTATCACGGTAATCTACTTTCTTTATACAACAATAACCGGATTTATGTTTTGAACTTGGCAGTTCTCCGTATTACCGAATACCTTATTCTTCATGGCCTTCTTCTGGGTGCTCGGAAAATGTAAGTCACTTCTGTTGTATTCAGACTCCCAGGTTTAACCAGGGAAATAAGTATATTGTAACAGCTGTGTGGCAATGTAAGGTTGCTTTTTAGAACATTGCGACAAGCTCTAATGGTTGTTTTGCAGGCTCAATAGCCGTGAAGCCCTCAGGGGAAAATTAGGATATGTTGCTGGCACCAATATTACAAACATTACAAATATTTCAGACAACCAACCATCAAAGCATTCGATTATGTCTTCTCATCGCAATCAACGGAGCTCTGCTGCTTATGGGGAACCAAACTTCGAGATTCTTTATGCTCGACCACCGGTAAGACATATTTTCTATCCCCCTGACTCTTTCAGCAATTCATTATATTTTATCAGAGCCCCCAACCTGCACTTACAGTCAGGGTTGATACCACCACTGAGACTAATCGAGAGTATTACCGCCACTCGGCGATTACAATGGTAATATTTGTTTACTAGAGTTCCACCAGAAGTTCTTTACTAAATGGAGGTGTAGCCCAAACGGACTGCCTCAATGATCAGTATCGATCGACCAGAAGATCAAATAACAGCGTTGTCACTGGCACCCAGCCCTTCATCAACAGTACCTCTAATAGGAAACCCACGGGATGTACCAAAGTTCCCCTAGTTACTCTTGTATCCATGTTCGAAACAGACATTTATCTCTTAAAATTTGGAATGGAAACTAAAAGTGTCTTTACTATGCACATAAATAGCGATACATAGATGTAAATGGAAGTATCCCAATTGGTATTCAATCTGTCCCATGTTACGAAGAACTTGAAAGAAACTCGGCGATGTCTTTCGCCACGATCTTGTGCACTTTTGCTGTAGGATGTAAGTGATCGATCCAGATATTTCCTCCTGCTTTCTTTCTATCAGACTTATCGAAATCAAATCTCTCAGGATCATTGAGGATCTGAGTGAATATAGACCAAGATGAATAAAGCAAAACTGTTGCTGCTGGATGAGATTTGGCGAACTCGTCCACCCTGGCACGAAGGTCTTCGTTCCAAGTGTCATACCTTGGCTTCATAGAAGTTTCAATAAACTCATGAACTAGTTCGAATATCAGTATAAGCCAGGAAGAAAAAATGTAGTGATACAGACCGCCGGGACACCGTTCAATGGGCGGAACATCTATGAACATGAAATTGCGTGCTCCCAAAGCATATAGCTTCGACTGATGTTCGAAATTTTGTTCGAAAGACTCTTTGTAAGATTTCTCGCTACGTAGTTGTTCAATCGCGTTTCAAAGGCAAAGATAACTGCAGAGAAATATCTGTAACTCACGTTCCTATGTCATTTATTCCTATCCAAGTAGCTGTTATTCTCATGTCAGCCGCGATGATTCTTTATTAGGAAGATCTTACCGAATAATGCATTCTCTGCATTCCACTCTATGCCTTCTTTACCATGCTGTATTAGGAAGCGATTGAATTCTGTCTCTAGCGCCTGACTCGTCACCCCGCTGATTGCGCAGTCCAGTACAAGGAGTAAAGATTCATTGTAAGTAGTTGCAAGGTAACCAACCTGGAAATTAAAGCGAATATTTTACGAATAGATCAGATCTTCCCCTATGGCAAAATGCACTTAGTAGACTTACCCAGTTGGGGCCATCATTATTGAAAGGATTGCCAGGAAACTCTACTCCCAATGGATATTTCGCCGTAGGTATCGGATTATCTTTTGTCCAAGGACAAACGACTTCACTATAGGAATCGCCACTACACGAAGAGGTATAATAAGTTACACCTTCCGGGTAGTGTTTTGTGGTGCCCGCACTGTACTGCTTACAAGACAACGAGATAGCGCAATTTGGAGAAACCCCTCCAACTCTCCGACTTCTGTATAATAGCTGACATTGGATGTACGATGAAGTTGAGAGAGAAGTAGCACTACGTAAGGAGCGACTGATGAATATCGTGGTTCACTGATCGGTGATAAAGAGTATAACCCTGGTCGCGACGTGCGTGACTTCGCCTGATCATCTCACCATCGGCCTCCCTGGGTGATTAAGGCCAGATACAAAAATGCGACAAAATCAAGGTCTTACCCGGACTCGAACCGGGGTCATGAGAAGGATCATTAAATCAAAATCTCATGGGCTAACCACTACCCCATAAAACCTCATGACGATCGGCTTCTTCATATATACCTGGTCGTGAAGAATTATCTGAGGTTGAGTTGAATTTAGTGAATTTAAAATGAAGCCAAATGCATATTAAAATTGTACTAAAGAATAAAATCGCCGCCAAGTATTAGGTCTCGAACCATTATATGTACTCGAATTAACGAGCAAAACAAAGGTCCTACCGTATTCGGACCGGGGTCATGAGAAAAACCCGACTTCAGAATCCCAATACTACCCCGTAGCACCTGTTTACAGGCATCGAAAACCATCCCTACCTCTCTGCGGCCTTTCACTGGTGCACTAATCTTTTGCAATTTATATATAATAATGTAGCTGCTGTTTTTTAATAAGACGTAAGTGCTTAGTGGTTTTAGGAATGCAACTCAACCATTTGCCATTTGACCAGCGCCTGCACGTGATCGCGTCCTTCACTTTTGGCCCCGCGCGCTCTCCAATTCACCTCACCATTCTGTTTCCTCGACTTTTGCTATGGCACCTACTCCGTCATCAAACTGGCTAGCTTTAAAAAAGGTATATACACTACTGAATTTCATTGAAATGGGCTAATTGGCTTTTCAGAAACTTCCCACAGATGGACGACCAAAGAAGAGACGAAAAACGGACGCGGTTTTAGAAGTTGCTACATCTGAAGTGGGATCTGTAATGGGAGCATCTACAAGAGCATCAAGTCTCGCACCTAGTGTAGCGTCGACGACGGAGGTGGATAAGTCGCCGGATTCTGTGTCTGCGTTGAGGAGGATGGTGTACGGCGAGAGTTCGTATGCTGAGAGTCATAAGCTGTAAGTTCTCTCATCAACATGATGGATGGGATCTTTAACAATACGTATTCAGCCCCGGAAAGTATATTGCAATTGATTGCGAAATGGTGGGCATTGCTGGTGATCCGTCAAAGCGAAATTCAACTTCTCGAGATAAAGGCGACGAATCTTCTTTGGCACGTGTCAGTGTAGTTAACTATTATGGATATGTATTGCTTGATACGTTTGTACGGCAACGGGAACGCGTAACGGATTGGAGAACGGCGGTCAGTGGTGTTCGCGAGTCGGATATGGTTAATGGTGCGCTAAGCTTCAACTTAGAAAAAACTCGAGAATCCTAACACATTTTATCTATAGCGAAGTCGTTTTCTGAGGTTCAAAAGCTCGTCGCAGACCTAATAAAAGATAAAGTTCTGGTCGGTCATGCCGTCCATAACGACTTAGAGGTTCGTGAGACTATTTTCCCCCGAATTTTATCTCACGTTGTATTACAGGCGTTATTACTGTCTCATCCACATAATTTGACGCGAGATACCCAAGTTCTCGCGGGAAGACACGGGACACTTTCAGCTAATAAAGCTGCAGAAAATGCCTCGGATCCCAGCAAGCCCGTCAAACGGAATAAGCGTCAGGCTTTAAGAAATCTAGTGACCTCAGAAATAGGAATAGACATTCAATCTGGTGAACATTCAAGTGTAAGTGAATATCCCGGTTTTCTACAGCTATTTTAAAACCCTGTCCTGTCTTGTAGATTATAGACGCGCGTGCCACCATGGCGGTGTATCGTCTCCATAAGAAACTCTGGGATAAAGGATTCGCACCCTCGATACATAAAATCAAGAAAAAGAAGTCAAAGACTCAAATAACCGATGTCTCGACCAAAATTTCATCACCAGAACCCTCTTCGAATGGGAAGTCTTCCGGCAAACGTAAACATGCCACCGAGGACGATGATTCCCCTTCGAATTCACAACCTAGCTTGAAATCTAAGAAACAGGGAATTAGTTCCGGTCTGTCCGTTGTGACGAAAAGTCGGAAAGGTGGCGTTCAGTCGAAAAAGGTCGTCTCGGGAACTCGAAGTCAAGCCAAACCTGCTACTGGTAGTAGTTCTGGTAGCAAGTGGTGGGCAACTCTAGGTAAATAAAATCGCCTGTTGTAAATTATTATTTTTCAGGTACGCTATGCCGAGTATTTGCCTTGCAAAGACTAATATTTCCGGCAGGCTCAGGTGGCACAGCATACTTTGCATGGATATTCACATTGCGCGCGTTCAATACCATTCTCGCATATCGTTACGTTTGATCAATGGAGCAATCGCATCATTCCCAAGTACTTGAATTTGACTGGTACCTTTGAATTTGGAAATGGCATGAGGTTGTGTAACATTCGCATCGACATCGGCTTCGGATGCCGTACGCTCCTTTATCTTTATCGACATGTTTGTACAGATAAACGCGCCATACTTCTTCCGGGTGGCAATGTTAGGGAATCTCGGATGTGGCAAAACTGATCCGCATGCTATTCGACAGAGTTGACCAACCGCTTCACGGCACTAATTAATGACGTACTAAGATGAACCTGCTCGCTAATAAAGACTGGAGTCATATTTAACCATTTTTCGACCGAATCTCTGTGCAAGTCTTAAGCCTTATGGCCTGGCCCGGCTTTCGAGAAGGTTCTGCGAAAACAAGACGATACGCGACTGCGTCAATTTCGCAACGCTCAGGCTGATGTGGTGCCAATAACCAGTTAATGCCTGTTAATGCCCATCTAGAACCTAGATCAACCTCCTGTCTCTGCCTCATGGGGGTGTATAGCCCTGCTTTCCTTGATTGTGAAGCCCTGGCCACAATATTGATGAGCCGTATTATCCTTGTGAATGGGGTTAAAAATCGATGGCTAAGCAGCTGATAGCAGTATTGTCGTCGTCGTTGACGAGAAAACGGTAGGTATCATACGAGGATACAAAAGGGACTGAAATCAGTCGAACAACAAGAAAGCATGAACGATCGCGGACTGCGTCGCAGGCTGCAGCATGCTGCGAGCGGATAACGGCATTATTAAGATCTGTTGAGACTTGAGCTTGGGACCTTGGGGTCCGATATGAGTTTCCAACTCCGCCATCTTCCCTGGGGCTCATGTTGGCACTTATCCATTATCCCAAGAGCAAACTCGTGTACGAAGCTATGTTCGATAAGTAATGCGTGTACAGGTGAATTATCCGGAGCTCAGTTTGGCGATTCTTATGTAAAACCGTACGACATTTTTGGCCATTTTTTCAGGCTGATCGGTTTATAAGGCGAACTAGATCAATTGTTTATCGATAGCTCCTTCTTCCGTTTCTGCCACCTTACAGGTATTTTTCACTCCTTTAACCATCTTTGTCCTAGCCTGACACCCTCTTTCAGCTTTAAAAGCAACAAGCAGCAGTAGCATCTAGGTCACCCCAGTGCATGTACTCGAATCAACTTCACAGCTCTCACAACCAACACCGAGGTAGCAAACACTCCATCCCCGGACCCATAGAACATTAATTTGTCTACGATGTCTCCCATTGCAACTACTCAACCTATCTATACTCCTACTTCGGGTTCTCGCACCCCTGAGACCCCTCTCGATGGGCCCGCTCAAGCCGCTCCTGTTCATCCTACGGCTGCCCGTCGTCCCTACAATATTGTCGTCAACTCTGACAATACCGTTTACACTGATGAGTTCGTCACCGCCAAGTACGACAATCGCGGGGCGGATGTTGTGACCTCGGCCGATGGTAAAATCAACATCGTACCCACCGTCAAGTCTTATGAGTTCAAGACCTCTTTGAAAGTTCCCAAGACTGGGTGAGTCTTATTTTGTTACTTTTTAGTTGCTTGCTGATATTTACATTTTTTAGTCTCATGCTTATCGGCATGGGCGGTAACAATGGTACTACCCTCTGCTCTACCATTCTCGCCAACCAGCACAATATCACCTGGCGTACAAAGAATGGTGTCCAAACCTCCAACTATATCGGTTCCCTCCTCCGTGCCTCTACCGTTCGTATTGGTACCGACCCGACCACCGCCAAGGACGTCTATGTTCCCATCTCCGATGTCCTCCCCATGGTCCATCCCAACGACCTTGTCCTCGGTGGTTGGGACATTTCCGGTCTTCCTATGGACAAAGCCATGGCTCGTGCCCAGGTCCTCGACTATGACCTTCAACGCCAGGTTGCTCCCATGATGGCTCTTATTGGCAAACCCTTGCCTTCCATCTACTACCCCAGCTTCATCGCTGCAAACCAGGAGGCTCGTGCCGACAACCTTATTCCTGGAAGTGACAAGCACGCTCACCTTGAGCACATTCGTGCTGATATCCGCAAGTTCAAGGCCGACAACGAGCTCGACAGCGTCATCGTGTTCTGGACTGCCAATACCGAACGCTACAGCGAGCTCATTGATGGTGTCAATGACTCTGCCGAGAACCTTCTCAATGCCATCAAAGTTTCCCACGATGAAGTTTCTCCTTCCACCCTCTTCGCCGTCGCTGCCATCCTCGAAGGCTCTCCGTTCATCAACGGTGCTCCCCAGAACACGTTTGTTCCTGGTGTCATCCAGCTTGCCGAGCAAAACAACGGCTTTATCGGTGGTGATGACCTCAAATCTGGCCAGACCAAGCTCAAGTCTGTCCTCGCTGAGTTCCTTGTCAACGCCGGTATCAAGCCCCTCTCCATTGCCTCCTACAACCATCTTGGCAACAACGATGGCCACAACTTGTCTGCTGATGCGCAATTCAAGAGCAAAGAAATCAGCAAGAGCAGCGTTGTTGATGATATGGTTGAGAGCAACCGCTTGCTCTACAAGACCGCTGAGCAGCTCGCTGCTTCTGGCAAGACTGCCAAGGGTGATAAGAAGGGTGAGCACCCCGATCACATCGTTGTCATCAAGTATGTCCCTGCTGTTGGTGACTCTAAGCGCGCCATCGACGAGTACTACTCTGAGATCATGATGGGTGGTCGCTCCGTCATCAACATCTTCAACGAGTGCGAGGTATGTATATCGTATCCCTCAACCATGAGCATCTGTCTGACTTCTAGTTCTTAGGATTCCCTCCTCGCCACTCCTCTTATTCTCGATCTCTCGATCTTGGCCGAGTTACTCACTCGTATCCAGTACCGTGAGGTCGGCAAGGACGAAGAGTTCAAGCCCTTGTACTCTGTACTCTCCTTGCTCTCTTACATG